TTTGCCTTAATTTTCTACTCTTTAAACTTGTCTCCTTTATTTTGTAGTTGTGTGGACACCCTATTAGAAAGAGAGAGGAGGGGACCTAAGGAATGAAATAGAAAACATTCAAGTTAAAATTTTTATGCTTCAAGTAGGTATGGAGGAGTTTGGTCTCCAGTTATTTCTTTAGCTTCATGGTATTGAAAATTAATAATTATGACATCGTTTCGTGTTTCTTATAATATCTAACTTTTTAAATCATTTTATTTTATTCGAATCGTAAGTTTAAGTTATTTATTATGTTACATGTAAAGGAACGATGTTTGGTTTATATGTCAACATTAGTGATGGCCAACTTATAGGTTGCTCGTACCTTCAATTGACTCGATTCATCCGAATTCAGGTTTGGAATCAAGAACATAAAGCGGAGCGCTGAATTCAGCTTATTTTTTTAAGTGTCATATTTCCATATGTGCCATTATGCATCCACACGTCAAATAATATTAATATAAATATCAAAATCAATTCAGTTTAGGCTGTTACAAACTTTAAATTTCAAATTCACAAAGACATCTATAGTTATTATACTATTGCTAATGATTTTGCATGTCGACAGCGGACGTCGAGCCATGTGTTAAGTTAATTCGTACGGTGAGTATGTGCTTTTTGGTTCTTACAATAATATTGTTAATAATAGATTGACTTCCTACACAACCTACTCTAGAAATCAGTTTGATTGAAATAATTATTTACTAAGTACCTAGAGTAGTCATGCTCTCTTAAAATCTCTGCGGTGGTGTCGTGTGCGTTAGGTCGTTACGTTTCCTTAAATATAATATAGTTGAGTTGTATAGTTGAAATTAAAAAAGCAGCCCTTGCTGACTTTCTTGCCGATTCTTGTTAGTACAAGATCTCCCGCCTTAGTTTTGCAAACTATTGGCAAAGTTTTGGACTTACACAAGTACTATATAACAGCCTAGACTGAATTGGTTTTAATATTTACAGTAATATCATTCGTTTTGTGGATGCATAATGTCACATACGAACATAAGCTGAATTCTGCGCTCCTCTTTTTGTTTTTAATTCTAAACCTGAATTCGGATGAAAGTTACATACGAGCTACAAATAAGTTGGCTCATCACTAATATTGACGTACCTATCAACCAAACATCGTTTCTTTACACGTAACATAATAAACAATTCAAACTTACGATTAAAATAAATTAAAATTAATTTGAAAGTTAGATATTATAATAAACACAAAACAATGTCAAATTTATTATTTTTCGATACTCAATTTATTCAGAAACAAAATTTGAATGAATATTATAAACAAAATCCAAAAATCGCGAGTGACATCTTGTATGCTATCAAGAACAAATTTTTATTTTTTCAAATACTTCCTCATTAAAATGTAATTGTCAACATATTAGAAAGGGACAATTAACCTCTGTACTTGATATATCGCTCGGTATTAAGTCCGTGTGATTAAATATCAAACCAAAGAGTGACTCTCTTTGGTTTGTTGTTAATGTAATTTTGGCATTATGGCTAAAGTGCCGATTTCACTACCCAATTTATCGGGCACGATTCATCGGGTACACTGTAAATTGGGAAGACTAATCGCTGTTAGAGAGTTAGGGTCCCGATATCGGATGATCGTGAGCGCCCGACCGCCCGATCTCACTAGTTAATGCGTTAGGGCTGATTTATCAGGCAATGTGATCGCTGTTAGGGTGTTAGAGCGCTCAGTCGGTTGTTGCTCAGCGTGCGTGTGAGACGTCAGTGAACGACAACGAAATTTGCGAACAGAGAAAAATGTCTTCACAAAAGGAAAAAGAAATAGTATTAAATGTAATTCAATATTATTAATTTTTCTTAGCCTTATATAATGTTTTAAACATTTATAGATAGCCCTGCATGTGTCTGGGACAATTTGTGAAAGCAGGGGTTCTGATATCAATGATTTATACTTTAAGTCAAGATATGTATTTCCCGTTGCTGAAAATCTTAAGATTACAGCTAACCGTTGTTTAGCGCTTACACTAGTTCTAAATAGCGAATATTGTTTTTTTTTATACTCGGTAGAACAGAACGACCGACACTCCCGAGGTTCCTGGAGAGTACTACTAGTCTTTAATATGATGTAAAAAAAATTATAAGTCGAGGTCAAATAGTTTCGGAGATATTAAATTACAAAGTTTTTGAAAAAAATGAGTGTTTTCAACCCTGAGTCAGCTGTTTTTGGGACGTACTAAGGAAAAGTTTTTAATCGGTCATTGACTTCTTCATTTCTAAAAACGAAATAAACTAGTTTGTGATTTATAAGACTGCTTTCATGCATATTCTACCAGACAATCAATAAACAAGGCAGTCAAAATGCTTAAATCGATTTACAGACTAACAGCCGGTTTCTGATTTGAATAAAGTAGAAAATTTCTACTGCTTATTCTCAATAACCTAAGTTTTTTTTTAATTTCACAAGTCAAATAGTCCTAGTTTTATCAAACTAATATCAACTGATCATCAAAAAACTAAAATCGGAAACGAAAACTAAGTGATGTTAGTTTGAGATGTTTAACTTTAAATTCTCAATTAAGAAACCGAGTGTAAAATTTCCTAAATTATTGTAGAGAGATCAGTCTAACATTAACCTACGTTATTTTAAAAGAGCAGTTCTTCAAAAAAAATGTTTGAATGGGGTAATACTCCTTTAACAACGGGATCGTTAATTAAACTCGATAAACTCACAAATCTTCCAGCGATTCATCATTAACACAAAGAACTTTGTTTTAAAAACATTGAGGAATTTGTTATTAAAATAGCATTTAAAAAGAAACTTTAAAAAATGCGTGATATCAAAAGACGAATAAAAAAAATGTGAACCGAGTTCGTCCCTCGATATCAAAGCCCCACCCGCCAGCCAGCCGCCAGGCGGCTTCATTATTCTTTCGGTATATTCCGGCCGCTCAGTCGCCGCCGACCTTTTGCGCTGGAGTGTTGTTGCGCATCGCTGCTGACGCACCGCTGCGAAGCGTCTTTTTTGTCGATTTTTGTTTTGTTCTAGTGCGTTTTTAATTGAATTTTTGTTAATAAGATACTAGAGTGTTCGTCTTGAGTGTTAAGTTTAGTTTAGTGAAGATTGTGTTTAGTTTTGTGTGAAATGTGATGTGTTTTGCGCGTGCATGCGCGGCATTGAAAAAAGCGTGCTTAGCTCAGTCTTCAGATAGGAAGTGGACATTTTCAGCATCGACTATCATTAAGATATCGGTAAATAATTAAATTGAATTAATGTATTTCGTAGTTCGTTGTAATCTGCACACAATCGATATTGCGCATGCGCGTTATAGGGCTGTCAACACTTAGAAATTTAAAATTATTACTCCAATTTTACACCTCCTCTATTTTTAAATATTTGTCAAATAAAATAAACGTTTGCATGTAACCTAACTTGAAACTTTCGGCTGTGTCGGTCATTTTGTTCCTCCCAGTATAAGGTACGACTAAGTTTAATATATGATCAAATTGTGCAGAACTCATTCTGAAGTAGTTCAAACTGCATAGTTTGTCTCTTAGAAGCAAATATTTTTCACCCAACATTTTCTATTTTGTTTTATTATTTACGCCCGCAGTAAAGTAAGGGCAATGCCAATTTTTTGGTACTTTGTGAGCGCTGGAGTCATCCTTTCAACGCCACGTTTGCATGCCAACTGAGTTAGGGAGGCGATCTAGTGCAGTGTAATCACAACGACGCCAACCGCCCTAAATCGAGTCCGATAAATCGTGTCCGATAGTGCAATCGGCGCTTAGGATCTACTGGATATGGACGGAACATCAATAGAAAAACAACTACCACTATGTTAACTTCATTCATTTCATTTTCATTTTACTTGTAGAAACTTATTTATTCATTTGACATTGGCAGAATTGTGCGAAATGCGCAGATAAGCCATTAATAAAAAAAGAAGAACTACCACTATTGTCAATGTCATCCTTCGCCTTTCCTTTATTAAGGAAAAAATCTACCAAAAAAATGTCAATGTCATGTCATATTCCATGGCGACGAAAAAATCTAAAAGGCGACTGGTCGCCAATTAGGCTACTCTAGGGGCAAGTTTTTTAAGGTAAAAAGGCATACGGCCGCGCGTGCGTGTGTATAGTGTAATTTTTGGATACAAGCGCTAAAAATGACGAATGCTGGTGGAAGCCAGATGTTCAAACAACTAGCAGAGTTTTCGATACGATGCCTTTCATTACCTTTGAGTAATGCCGTCGTTGAAAGAATTTTCAGCGTAATGGGGACAATCAAAACAAAATTAAGGAATCGCATGCAACTACCCATGTTGATTGCCATTTTTAGAATTCGAACCCATATGAATTTAAGAGGTATGTGTTGTAACAACTTTGAACCAAGCAATTACATGGTCAGTTTACACGCTGGCAGAAAAATGTATGTCTCCGGTGGATCTTGCGCCAGTACTAGCACATCAACAACTTCTGAAGTCGGTGAAAGTCTTGTTGATGCCTTATTATTGCTAGCAGAGGACGAATCAGATTAGTTCTAATTTTTGTTTGTTTATTATTTGTTTATTATAATTTGTTTATTAGTTTTTAAAATGTAAATTTTAATTACATTATAACGTGTTAAAGATGGCTTTAGCCTCCTGATCACTGTGTTTTGAACGTATATTATAAATAAATTGATAAAAACTACATTTTATTTTATTCATATTGATGTTTTTGTGTTTGGGCTACTTTAGGCTACTATAACTGAAATTGGGCGATATTAGGCTACTTAATTCATGAGAAATGGCCATACCTACTTAGTATAGTTTATAGTGATTTGTGAGTAGCAGGTATTGTAAACTATTTTCTGGATAGTAATTGATGCCTTTCATTCATTTTACATGTAAAAAGTAATTTATTACTTGACATGGCAGAATTGTACGAAATGCGCAGATAAGCCATCTTTAATAAAAGAAGAAAAAGAAAAAAAAACTATTCTCTATGAAGTTTTTCTTCATAGATGAAAAAACAAAACAATAATAATATTGAAGTGGAAGAATAAAATTAAAGAATAATGTTTGAGTCTGATGACTTTGATCAGGTAATTACAACAAAGAAAAAAATTAACTTGATACTTTTAAAATTTGAAAATGGTTGTATCTAGGTACCTTCACTTATTATAATTTCTGTTATGAATTCAGATACTCTCTCAATTTGAACTTCCTGTCGCGGCGTCTTCGAATGTTGACCAAGATTGTTGTAAAGGAAAAAATGTTAAAAATATAGATGAAACTAGAGAACTTTCAGATAATAAACAAGTAGTGGATTATTCTGAAGCATGCATTAATAATGCAACAGTGACTAAAAATATTAGTGATATACAGACGTCACAAAATGTAGTTTCTGTTTTACATACTAAAAGGAAAATCATAGACTCATATTTTGATCAGAAAAGCAAAAGAAAATTTCCTGGACCTGCTGGACTGCTTACTGGAAATTTTCAAGATAATCAAGACACTGAGATGTGTCAAATAGAGCTATTATCACAGGTAACATTTCTTACATTTATTTGACATACAATTATTATTTTAAGTCTTTTTTTATCACATATCACTAGAGATAAATGAAGTGTTTCTGCCTGGCTATTGGTGGACAGAAAGGGAAAAAAGCCAGATAATTTGGGAAAAAATCTTAGTTGCTCAATGAAATGTCCTTTTAGAAGCCATTAAAATTCAAATTCTAAAAATATTATTTACCTATTAATATAAAAGAACTTAATCTATGATCTTTGGCCAGCAGTTATTTTGTTTGTATACATACACTTTGTAGTGCTGCTAAGCTAATGGCATAATGTTGTGTGTATTCTAAAGCCATTCAATAAACTAATAAAAATGCTATTTTCATACTGAATCAGAATTCTAAATTGGGCATTTCTTTTTTGTAATTATTGGTATTGTGATAGTACTTGAAATATATTTCAATCCAAATACTATTCAATGCAAAAAAGACACAATTAAGTCTTTTCTCTTTTTATATTAGTGTATACTTCTGCCTCGTAAGGAAATATTTTTTTCTTTTCCCTATCTACAAACTGCTTTCTTCCCACCCCCATATATCATCCTACATAATAAATGGACAGCTACTTAACATGAACATTTTCAGACAAAATTCTGATGCATACAAGGAGAGAATTGAAACAAATAAAATTTAAGTAAGTATCTTTTGCATTGTTTCAGGATGTTAACTTTTCGCAAAATAGTTTATTAAGAGATGCATTTGATTCTCTTTTATGGCAGAGACTACAAAAGGATATTAAAGACTGGAATTTAGGTTGTATTGATACAACTAAAGCAATCAAACAGGCTTGTGTTACCAGCAACTTCAGAAAAAGGAAGGCCCAAACAGTTGCAGCATTCATTGAATCTGTAGATAGATCTATCACTGATCCATTAGTTACTCTTAGAGATTCTACTGGTCAGTCCCTTTTTATAATTACACTGAAAATAATATTCTATGTGCTGTCATGATTGATCCAGTGCTATATGTGCTGTAAAAATTAAATGAGAATTAACACCATTTTGTATTATTAAAATAAAAATGAATATTACACATTGTATATTATAAAAATCTAAAACAATTATGTCACCACAACACTTATACCCGAGTCAATATAGAAATAATAATTTTCTGCAATAAACTGAGTGAGAAGCAAACTTGGCACCAAAAACGATAATTAGCCATGGTTGACTCCTCATAAATTGTCTAACATAATATAGGATAGCACTTATGATATAAAAGGATAGTAGTGTATTTTTTAAATCTTAATCATTATTTGCAGGTAGCATAAAGTGTACATTACATAGAGATGCATGGTCAAAGTTTGCACCTTACATTGTCTCTGAATGTAGTGCATTGGTCTTATGGAAACCAACTATACTAACTACAGGAAGTGCATTCAAAAAGCATTATTTGAATATTACATTAAGTAATATTTTTGCACTTTATAGTTCTGCTGTTCTAGACAATGATGTAAATACAAATTTACCTGATGGATATGTCATAACCCATGAAGGAGACTTTACTGTAATCAAAATTAATGAACAATCATTATCTTCAGGTATTCAATACATAATTGTATTTGATAAATTTTGCATCCACAATAATTCTATAATCATATTTATCTTATAGAAAAACTTTGTTCAAAAAATAGAACTGACTTCAAAATATAAAAAAAAGGATAAATAATATTTATCCAAGAAATGCTATTGATTTTAAGCAGAGGACTTATGTAAATTAATAATTAAATGATAGGTGTCAGACTTCAATAGCATTTTCTTGAATATGTTGCTTTTGAGATAAGTATCATTTTTAAAGTTTAAAATCAGTTCTATTTTTGAAGAAAGTTTTTATTTCATCCTTTTTTTTTCTTAAATATAGTGTGCCTGAAATAATATAAGAGATTTTTTTTATTTGCTTGACATAATTTTTTTTTCAATAATCTATAATAATAAAGACGTGATTGCTTGTTTGTTTACATTGGATAGGCTCCGAAACTATTGGCCCGATTGGAAGCTACATAATATGAGGGGGCGATGTGGAAAAATCGCGGGAAAACAGCTAATTTGGTAGAAATTGGTTCATAGTTCGAGAAATCGATGATCATACTTTGATAAAAAATATACATAATCTGAACACAAAATCCTCCTTTTGGATTTTGAATGAATTCAAAATATGGAATCTTTTGTTTTTTAGCTGAAATGGGCCATGTCATAACATATCATCTAAATATTCAGGTGATATGTGGTGATACGCGTATTTTTTTTTTGTTATAAAAGGAAAACTACTGTTTCGATTTCGATTGAATTTAAATGTGATCGACTCGGTCCATCAAGCAAAATCGATCGAATCACAGAGTCGAATAAAAAATATTTTTTAAAATCGATGAAAACAATTGGCGAAAATATCGGTGAACATACATAAAAAAAAACATACATCGCCGTCGAACATATAACTTCCTCCTTTTTTATTTTGAAGTTCATTCACCCAATAAAAGGACTTTTATTTTGGAATTATTCCATTTTTCAGTGTAATCAGCCTTACTAATGATTTAGTGCGGCAGTTGCAACTAGTTTAAAATTTCTTTGGATTCTGTCGCATTATAAAGATAGGTTTGCTCATATTATGTTGATATTTTTTTGTAAACAATTCGTAATATGTATCTCTGATAGCATGCGATGTGGTACACAGTGTTATTCTTAAAAAAATACTGTTTTTAATTTTAGTAAATTTTTTCAAGATATTTTATTTGTGATAATATTTTTTTCTAAAATAAATAATTGTAAACTCATTTAATTGTATGCGTATGTCTAGTATATGTATTATATGTCCAGTAATAGGAATATATAGTGCTTATTAGCTTAAACTTTAAAGTAGAGCAGAGACAAGAAACAGAGACTTCCTAAGATTATATTTATACGGAAGATTTGCCCCAAAATTCAGGGTAAAATATTTGCAATAAGAAATTCGTCTATGTTTGCTACAGTTAAAGGCTCACGTTGAGATTTATAAAGTTCCTGTGTAATTAAAAAAGAACCTTAACAATTGTTTTTAAAATAATAAAATGGTTGTTTTATAATTTTAGCATTCTCTATACCTACGTATTTTGGATGGAGATAGAGGATTTATAATTCAAAAAGATATTTGTCTTTTATCTTATTAAAATATATTTCTAAAATATCAACATGTGCATAATATTAAATTAGTGACCGAATCACATTGTTTTAGTAATATACTTTAATAAAAATCATTTACCTATTCTTTATAGCACTGAAATAAATGAATAGTTCTAAGGAAGTTTTTATTTTTAATCTTTGTTCTTCGAAGTTTAGGTTAACAAGCACAGTGACGGGCTTAAGTAATCATTTCCAGACATAATAAAGTGTTAGTGTAATGAGTATTCATACGTTTAGCCTTTACGTTAGCGCCAACTGAATTGTGTATATAGTCTCATGGTTTATCTAGTGGTATACATTATAGTATAGTGATAGGGTTTTGAGATGTGCGTACCTATATAAAGAGGAATCTGTAACTGCTACCTAATGGCTAGTTTACACGTGATTAAGTAGATAGCAGTAAGTAGAATTTTAAATTAGTTTCAAGTGATTATGTACGTGTAAACCACAAATATGTAATAAGTAGTTTGTTTCAAATGTAGTTATCTACTTATGAGCGGAATTAGAATTAAATATTAATCTGTTACTTATATTAATTTGTTTACACATACTTAATCACTTAAAATCAAGTTACAAATGTTACATGTAAACTAGCCTTTATACATACTTTTATTAAACATGTATCATGTGGGGTAACGATGTACCATAGTAACACTAAATAATACTAATTTTAACGTTGTTTTTAGGTGTAAGTCACGATAATTCAATATCTGACGAAAATGGACTCCTTGAAGAATTAGATAATATTTTTTCAGATATATTTTGATACTTTTCTACAATCTACATTTAAGTTTAAAATAAAAAGGTGATAATTAAAAGTTTTTCTTTCATTCTTTACATCATTTTATTGGTTAAGTAAGTATATGATAGACTAGGTAAGTATATGATAGACTAGGTTTCGGTCATACGTTGTTGCATTTCACATAACCAATTATTCTGACATTATCTATTTTGATCTTTCCCGCATTGTTATGCTTTTCCTCTTTCATACAACATTTTGTTAAGAATTACATAAATTTGATTTTAACCTTACATTTATATGTCTTGAAAGAATGTGTTTTGACAGTGTGGATGGGTGGAAATACGTACAGGGGCACATATTACATTTATAGACTTCACTGGTATTTTTTTCATTGCCACCATTTTCGTGAGCTTTTGGCACGTGTGTCTTCAGATGATTTTCGCAAGCGTTGAGTTTACTGAATTTTGCCTGAAATTGTAATTTTTATTCATAATTATGCAATTAAGTTATAAACGGTCAGTTGCACAATCGTCCATTAAGGATTTATGACGCCTTTATGCTCTTATGAATGACAAATTTGTGTGGCTAATGTTTGTGCAACTGGCTGTAAGTTTTTATAATGCTTCTTGATTATTCAAATCATCATTAGTTTTGAAGGCGATTAGGTTTTTAAATGTTTCATAATACCATAAACATCTACATCTTTGAAAGAGCTTGCGATAGATTTTGAAATTAGGCGTACGGCTTACTGCAGACGCTGACTGAAGTAATTAATTCGTAATTAGTTAATAAATACACTCACAGGCACAATTAACCGCCCACCTTCTATATCTTTCAATTCGCAGAAATCGCCAAACTTAGACCATGTATTGTGAAAGGAATGTTAAAAAAACTATACTTGAATAAAAATAATTTTGTTGTCTCTTTTTCTTATATACACTCACAGGCACAATTAACCGTCCACGTTCTATTTCTTTCAATTCGCAAAAATCGCCAAACTTCGACCATATTTTATGAAAGGGAAGTTAAAAACTTGGAAAAATCTTTTATTAAAGGATGCTTACTAAAAACAATTTTTTTAATTCTTCAATGCAAATTTTAAACAATTGGTATTGTAAATAATGGGGCAATAAAAAAATTAAAATGTATAGTGGGTGTTGCCACCTCTGGCCCTTATGACTTTTTGGAGCAGGTTTTGTCAATCCATCCATGATATCTTGAATAACCGATTGGGGGATATTGTACCACTCTTCTACTGCAGCCGTTTTAAGCTATCCTTAGAGACTGGTATTCATGCTCGGACACGTCTCTCAAGGTTGTCCCAAAAGTGCTCTATTGGGTTAAGATCGGGACTGCGTGCGGACCATGGTAAAACTTGAATCCCAATCGCATTAAGGTACTCACTGACAGATCTTTCGGTATAGCAACATGCTTTGTCATGCATCATTCTGAAGTTGTTACCAAAGAACGGAGCGAAAGGTAGAGGAGACCTAGGAGAGTTGTGACAGGTGAGTTGTGACAAGGGCGATTTCTCCCTACCTATTATAGTAAGCGAGATGGCATTAATGCTTGTTTGTCGTTCTCGACACGCGCTACACGACTCAGTACCTGTCGACGGTGCATGTGGCACAGTTGCGTAAATATATCGTCAGTGTACAAAAAATTGCGAAAAGTAAGTTTTTATTCAAAATATTATTTGAAAATATATCATGTCTAAGTGTATGTGCATTGATATGTTATTTTTTCTTAAGTTATGTAGTTATATAAGTCTCAATACGTGGCACTGATTTTTTGTGTGCGCATCGTGTTTAGAAAATATGAATTATTATTCGGACCAAGACGTCATTTTGAACACCTAGGCGAGTTGTGACAGCCTGTCACAACTCTCCTATCTTACTCTATATTTCTGCTAGGCTATTTTCACAATGTTTTTTTTATTAATTTTAGATATTTGTTGGTGTGTTAGTGGCTACTTAAGGTGTATAATTGCATACTTAATTGTTTCAGAATGCCAAATAACTATATACGAAAAACTGATAAAGGAATGGCTACTGTCGAAATCTACGATCTAGCATTTGAAGAGGTAAGGTTAGGTTTTAAGAGATGCTGCGGCCTCTTACAATCTAAACTATATGTCTTTGTCATGATATATTAGGAAGAAAGAGGCTTATCAAGAAAACCCAGAAGCCAAAGTTCCGTCTATGGGTTATACCATTCCGACTATTTTTACAGAAGAGGAAGAGAATCCATATCTAAAACCCCACTGTTTCTAATGTGTTCTCGCCGGAATCAGACCATTGCCAAGAGCTCCGCCAAGAAAAAACCGCCAACCAAACCGACGTAAAATCAAATTTGCTGTCTTTAATGACACTCCGCCAACGACGAAATAGCTGCTATAGAGCCTAATAGGAAGTCAAATAATGTTAAGAAGCGTATCTTGAGCGAAGAAAAGAAGAAACCTAAAAGCAAAGAAAACTAATAAGAAGAATATACCAAGTGATGAAGAAGAAGCAGAAAAATAATTGCTTTTGTTTGGTTTGCCTTGAAGCCTATGCAGATAGCATATCAAATGAGTAGTGTGTCCATTGCAAAGGCTGGGCACACGTAGATTGTACTGGAGACGAGCTGCATTACATTTGCCATAATTGTGAATCTGATTACATTAAGATTTTATATTGATAATAATAATATGATTGATCTCAAACTGATGTCATATTTAGTTAATGAAAAGATTATAATTACTTCTTATGACAATGTTAATACTAAGTACTAAAAAGATGATAAAATTACTGTTTTGGTAAAAAAAATGCTTGATTTATTGATGTCCTATGTAATGGTATTTTTTTTATATCTAATAGCTTAAATATAACGATGTCACAACTTACCTCGGTACCTGTCACAACTTACCTCGGTGGTAGGTGAGTTGTGACAAAGGGAGTGGTCTTTTATTTTGTTGATTTTTTCAGAAACTATTATACTTTTATTAATTTTGGTGATGGTGTTGAAAACAGAAGGAATAGTGCTAAACTAATTCACATGAGTCACAACTGTAGAATGCTTCTTAAGCGAGATATAGCCCCTTATGTAAAAATTGTCACAACTCTCCTAGGTCTCCCCTATAACATAGAATTACACTTCCTTAATCGAACACAACAAGATCAGTACGAGCCTCACAAGAGATACCTCCCCATACCATTATGGACCTCCTTGGTAACCCACTATTTCAGTTATAGCGCATGGAGCGCGAGCTGGACGAAAAGTCCTCAAGCCCTCAAATTACTTTCTGCTACTCTTCTTCTAATGCTACGTTCACTGAAATTGACATTTCTCACCTCAAAAAATCGTGTACGAGTTTAAGTAGCGGTCGAAAAGCGATTTCTTAACACATTGGTCACAACGAAATGGCCATCTCGAGTCGAAGTGCATCGATGTCGGCATTGACCTGGCCTGCGGGGGTATAAGCCTGTCTCCCGAAATAGGCTGATGGCGTCCCTTACCGTAGTTCGAGGTACACAACAGTATGTGAGCGATGCGACGCTGGCTATACCGTTGGCAATTATCGCAATCAAAAACAATGAGCAAACACTATAATTTCAAATTAAACAATATTCGCCCACTATGATAGAAAATAAAAAGAAATGTTAACTTGGTAACTCAACAGCAACAATGTAAAAAAAAAAGACTAAATTCCGGTGACACGAATTTAGGAAAGAAAAAATGTTTTATTTATTGCTAGAGTACCTACTCAATAAAAAAAACAAAACAGTTGATAAGCTATAGTTAACGGAACCAAACAGGGTGATGAATGAAACAGGTGGACGGTTAATAGGGTAGTTTTGGCAGTGAAAAATGAAAATTAATGAAATTGCACAAAAACTAAAGTTTACATCGTAATAAACATAGAGATTCTGATTTTGAGTCTTAAAATAGCACGATTGTCTTAAAATAGCACGATTGTCTTAAAATTAAAAGTCGTGATTTTTTGTCTGTGTGTCACGTGATTTAAAACACGTCCCGCCATTGTGTGACGTCACTGTGGCGACAAGGGGTCATCCATAAATTACGTCACATAATTTTCATGATTTTTTTGCCCCTCCCCCGTCCTAGTTACAGCTGGTCACATTTCTAAGACCCCCCTCCTAGTGTGATGTCACATATTTTGCACGGTTTTTGTAGTTATAATTTAAATTTGGTGTTTTAGCACTTATATTATAATAGATTTTGAAATGTGACGTCACGAAGTTTAGGACCCTCCTTGTCACACAATGTCACACTTCGTCGACCCCCTCCCTCCCCTCTTAACGTGTGACGTAATTTATGGATGTCCTCCAACTGTCATATACTTATAAATTATGAGTCAAATTCCTAGATAGCGCTGTTCTAAGCTTATTTTATATCTTTTTGTTTCGTACTCGAATAAACAATCTTTTAATCTTGTAGGTACTCTATGTATCTGTTTTCTGCATAGAGTTAAAGTTTGTGTACATATCAGAATGACTTCAAAAATATAGCGGACAATGTTTTCACGGGTATAAAAAAATGATTTCATTTTAAGGCAATGAAACGTTTATTTTCCCGAAATATTTATATATTACTTTCTTTTATAATTAAAATAAACAATGATAAGTATTATTAGTGAGTATTATTAAAGTATTATTTCAAACAGAGTAGAATACCCTATTGTGCCTGTAAGTGTAATTCTTCACGTATGAAGGTGTTTATACTTACATGACATTGTATGCAGGTATAAGATCTCTCCACACCTTCGTCAACTAAACAATATCCAGTGGTTTTCGACAATTCATCAATGTCCATAGCAAGAATGTCATCAGGCTTCAAACATCGATTCTGAAAAGACACCGACCAACCTTATTAGCATATATTTTAAAATTATGAATAATAAAAACCTTCAAAATGGTTTACATGGCTCTGCCATTCTATAATTAATGATTGTATTGTGGCTTGGGGAGGAGCAGCCGAAACCCACCTAATTTCACTGGAAAGAGCCCAAAGAGGAGTACTAAAAGCAATTCTCTTTAAGCCAATACTATCACACTGTAGAACAAGACAAAGTCCTTAGCGTCAGTTTTTTTTTTCTGGTAAGAGTTGTGACCCATATGCACAGAGTAGTATTAACATCAGAATGCTATAAAGAAACGTTTAAAAGTAGCGTCTTTTAAATTCCAATACCTCTTACAAAAACAACGTTTTGGCCTTTTTCTATTCGAATATATTTATAATAAACTTGTCTCTTGCTGATATTTTAAACTTGAACCCGTTCGAAAAGCAAAATAATACACACACACACACAAGCGCATTCATGCGTCATTCTGCCTAGTGTGGGAACCAGTAAATCATAAATTTGTAAATATTATTATGTTTATTGAAGACATAGTATATATTTGAAATTTAGCGTCACATCAGACTCGCCAACGAATTTGAGAGTTTTATGTATGTCTAAAAACTGAGTAGGTATGTAAAGACAAAGAGTAATACATACAGGCATATTAAGGTTCGTATTTGTTCGAATTACATGTCAAATATGGTGACTTTTATATCTAACTAGTTTCGAAATATACAATTCGAAATATTTCGGATTCTTGTTAGGTTGACGCTTAAAGCAGCAGCAGTCAGTCCAGTCCAAACTCCAGGATTTTGGAGCCAATAAATACAGAAAACAATTAGTGTGGCTGAAATTATAATTCTCAAGCTCTCAATATAACCAAAATAATATTTACTACTTTTTAAACTTTAATGGTTTTAATGTATTTTTAGTTATGTAGTGAGTACAAAGCAAAGAAGTGGTAAATCTAACTTAAAACTAATCACGCGAGCGAAGTCGCGGGCAAAAGCTAGTTTAAATATATGCAGCAAAATTGTTGGGATTGTTGAAAAACGAGTTTGCTGATGCAATGAGAAAGGGTATTATGAAAGTGGCCTACTTTATCTACTTATATGTATAGTTCATGATTTTCAATTACCTCTTGGTGTTCTTTTAATAGTACTTCCGTTTTGAAAAGTGCTGCACAAGCACTACACGCGTACATTGTTGTAGGTAATGGTTTATGAACTTTTGCAATTAAATCCATTGGAATAGCTAAAACAAAAATGGGTACAGTGTAGGTTTTCACTTTTAAGAATCCCTGAAAAAACTGAGAAAGTACGGTCAGGATTGGGATAGATAACTTACTCACTTCTTTTATTAACCGTGGCAGATACTCTTACATTATTCGTTCCGCTATGTTTCGTTTCTGATATTTGCACATGCAGCACATTAAAATTTTGTTTACTGAGATTCGAGGTTTGTACATTTTTGTTTTTTGGAAACACTAGAAAAGAACATAAATAACCATTGTTTTAAAACAGACGTTGCCTATTTGATTTCATAAAGACCTACTCGGAATCCCGATTCTTTCACTATAACAACTATAAACATACACATACTAGTAACAAAGATAGTCTAGACGCCCATAAGTGTTTTTTTAGCAAAGCGTGACATCGTTTCGTGGCTTCAAAAAAATAAATAAATAAGGAGGTAGTCAACTAGCTTATTTATATTTCAATTGCAGTATTGATTTTATTTTGCTAATCAGTAGATATATGTATTAAGTACTGCATACCACAAAGGTGTATCATGTTCTGTAACATATATGGTAAATAAACAAAATTCAGCTTGTCATTTACTTCCGAAACTTTCCCTGTAATCACGGCTGATAATCCTTTGTTAATAGTTTTCTCCGATGAGTCTTCATTTTGTACTGTCTGAAATTAAAAAGTGTTAGTGCAAATCTGACTTGCATGTCCTTAGATTCGTCGTATTTCGAGGTGTAATGTAGGTAACTTGATTATAAAATATGTAACACGAAATGAATGTACTGAAGCGCGCATGCTGGAATACACCGAGCTACGTTTAACACGCATTTTATTTACTTTCACCGGTCATAGTAAGTTCTAGAAGAGCGAACTACAAATATTATACGAGGCACGAATATAGATTTTTTTTGAAACCTATATACCCTAAAATCTATTAACGACTAGAGTTCGTAGGTATTTAAAAATAATAATACAACGTGACACATATTAGGGATGACGACTAGTTTTTGTTTGTTTGTCCATCAGGTAGATTATTGTAAATATTAAACGCTTTTTTTTTATTTCTTTCGCAATCATTAAATTACGGCGATACATTGAGTATAAATGTCGCATGACGTCACGCTTTGGTACATTTTCTAGTGACGTGGCGAGCCCGCACTCCTCAACTTTGATAACTGTTATCTAAGCTATTTCTTGTAAAATTGAAGGAAAAATAAATACGTATCTAATATTTTTCTATTATCTGACTGACAGACTAAATAGAATTACTTTTTTTTTACTTATTCGTCACCCTTATTGATACATATCCTAAAAGTAGTTTGTTTAAAATCAGATTCGATTTCACAACATTTAATATAGGTATTTTTGTTTTGCTATATTTAATTGGAATTAAATAAATTATGGTCACCAGTAACTATTACAGCCGTCACAAAAAAAATCTTGAGTGAATATAATAAGGCTTTTTAAAAAGCATTATATTTTTATCTTGTAATAAAATATACCTAGGACAAAAAAAATAGCTTTATTTTAATGTGCGTCAAATAAACATGACATCGCAATGTAAGTACGTCGAATTTTCAATTTCACATGCGATGATTCTTCGTTATACTAACGGACAATAAACAACAACATATAAAATACATCGAAATGCTTAAGGGTTAGACATAATGCGGTGATACTGTGCTCGCCGTATGGTATATGATCGCAAGACTATGCTAGTTATAAAACACTTTTGAATCTCGAAACAAAATAATATTTTATGTATAGAATTTTTATTGATAGGTGGTATCATTGTGGTATTGCGCTGTAGGTATATTGTACATTTGTAGTTGCAGGCTAAGCAGTAATTTTGACTTCATTACATGGATTTCTGTTAAACGTTATATATCTTCTCCAGGCCTTGCTTAATATATTTCCTGTTTCCGCCTATTTCTTAAAACTAATGTCATGAATTCACTATGCCTATACCTACAGATTCTCACGAGTTCCAAATTCTAATTTGAATTACAAACATTTTTTCACTTCTCATTTTCTCTCTGGTTCTATTCTAATAAGTTTCAGTAAACCCACGTAAGCTGCTCACAGTGTTTATTATAGATATGTATTTTGTATACATATATTGTTTCAGCACATAACTTTTTATTAAGACATAAAAAGTATCTGCCAGACCAAATCGGAATACAAAAAAATGATCCATGCAGGTGATTAAATTGAAGGAAACTATATATGCCCTCATTGAAATACCTTTGTAACAACTAGGTAGCTTTCCAATACAGTTGCTTTAAATGCGGGAATTTGTAATAGTTGTGAAATAACAGAATCAGCAAAGACAATATCATCTTCACAGCATTTTGTTACTTTGTTCTGAATCAAATGTTGTATGAGCGAAAGGAATTCTGTTTCATTCAACAAATTGTCTGCAATAGGAAAAGGAGTTATTATTTCCGAAATACAATGAAGAATTTTGTTATATTCAACAATTTCATTATAAAAACTATTTATACATGATAAGAGGAACAAGAACAAAACTTACTCAAATGTACTGCTGGAGCGTTAGTATGAATTTCCCATTTACGTCCATTTGTTAACTCCAAACGTGGGTTGTCCGGTTCACGTTTATCTATTTCCATGGGACTGTGATTATGATTTTTTGGTTTAACAACACGTGCAACTAATTGCTTACCATTCAATGTCTGACCCAAAACTATTTTGTCAGGAATATCTAAAATTGTATATTTAAATAATCTATCACAATGAAATTCCTAAAGATAGAGTTTGGCAAGCGAAACGTGACACCACCTATTTTTCCGTTTTCATATGGCAACAACATAGAACTGTCAGTTTGACACTACGTTAGACAATTCAAGAATATTGAATTTTGTTGTTTTTGCGAATTTGAACTTGTGTTTTTGGTTAAAAATTATGTCGAAGCCGATAAAAAGTTCATCGAGGAAACTTCTTTCCATCATGATTGACAAGTTTACTGAAGTGAAAACTGAATTAAATAAAAATTTCATGGAGAAATTACAACGATTAGATAAAGTTGTATCTTTTTTAGGTTAGTTTTGTATTATAATTTTGATACTTTCGTTTTAATTTTCTGTAATTAACTAAACAGATATTTTTTATAAAATATTGCTCTATTTCAGATAACTGTGATGGTGATATTCAACCAATAATGGAGGAGATAAATGCAATAAAAACTTTAGAAAAACAAGAAATGCTGAATTCGGAAACGCAGTACTTACAAAAAATTTCTTCAATGACAGGTCTCTTTTCTTGTTTTGATTTAAGATAGATTGATAGTATTCCTATAATATTTACATAGGTTTTTTATGATGTATTGGTTTTTATTGTTGACATCCAATGATGTCATAAGAATGTTTTGTTTAACAAGGAAATTCACAGAATTCATGAAACTAATCAAACCATGTAATTGTTATACATGCTAAATATGCACATAAACTTAACTAAATTAAACATAAATTGCATTCATAGTTGAATAGGTATTTAAATTATTTTGATGTATGTGTCTATCATTATTTGCTTTTAAATACATTTAACATATCTTTGTTTCAAAGTGTTTAATCTTTTATAGATGTAAGTATAAGGACACTAAGAAGGATAAAAAATGAAGCATTAATTAATAAAGGAAAATGGGACACTCCTGGGAAAAAACGACCTCATCAACCAACAGTGTCTGCTTTAGATAATTTTGATTTAAGTGCAATTCGGAATAAAGTAAATGAATTTTACTGTGTGAAAAAAATTGTTCCAACATTAAGAAGCCTTCACAATGAATTAAAAGATGCAATAGGATTCAGTGGTAGCCGTGAGACTTTACGAAAAATTATGCTTAAGAATGGATTTTCTTTTAAAAGCAATGAAAATTAACGTTCTATGCTTATAGAAAAATACCAGATTTCTGCATGGAGGCACAAGTATTTGAGAGAAATAAATATAAAACGAAACGAAGGAAAGCAAATTGTGTACCTTGATGAAACTTATGTACATCAGAATTATAAAGTTAAAAAGTCTTGGCAAGGACCTTCAACAACTGGTGTCACTACAAAGATATCCTCTGGAAAACGGCATATTGTTGTGCATGCTGGATCTGAGGAAGGTTTTGTGCCTGGTGCATTATTAGTGTTCAGTAGTAAATCCAAATCTGCTGATTATCATGATGATATGAACTCATCGAACTTTATGAAATGGGTCAGAGAAAAATTAATACCAAATTTAAGTAAGCCCAGTGTAATTGTTATGGATAATGCCAGCTACCATATAAAACAAATCAATAAACCGCCTATAATGTCTAATACCAAAGCAGATATCCGTAAATGGCTTGTAAATAATGGAATACATTTTGAGGAATATCAGACAAAGGCAGAGTTAATGTGTTTGGTTAATGATAAGAAAACATTGCCTGTATATGAAGCTGAAGAGATTTTAAAAGAACATAATCATGAACTTTTATTGCTGCCACCGTATCATTGTGACTTAAACCCAATAGAGATGGTTTGGAGTCAAGCAAAAAGAAAAATTGCAAGCAGAAACATTGGAATACCAGGAAAGGAAATGGAAAACTTAATAATAGAGTGTTTTAACTTAATTACCCCTAGTGACTGGAAGAAATACACTGATCATGTTTTAAATGTCGAAAATGATTACAAATTAAAAGATGGCATTGTTGAAAACGAACTTGAAAAATTTATTATATCTGTTGGTGCAGACAGTAGTGAAGAGAGTGACTCTGATGATTCCTTGTCATTGTTATCAGGTGTAGAATATTTAGAAACAGATTTTGACTATGAATCAGACTAAAGTATTTTTAGTCTGATTCATAGTCAAAATCTTATCTTAAATTTTCTATTGTGATTAACATGATGATTTTGTGACACCTGTATTATGTAATTTATCCATGGCACTTAATTGTAACAAAAATAAATGTTTTTTTTATTGTAATCTGGTGTTTATATTGACTAATTTAATTTGATAGATAGTGGTTCTGGATCAGAGCAAAAGGTTGTGATGAAAATCCCTTAGGAGACATGTATGTGTTATGAACACATTATAAATATAAGGGCCAGAAATCAAAATTGGCTAACATCACATTTATTAAAAAAATGTGGCCAGAGTCGCCCATATTCATTACAAAAAAACAAAGAAGTCGTTGCAAAAAACACCCTTTTAATTAATGACAAATATGAATTTTTAATATTATAAGTGCTGTTAGCCAATAGGTATAACGAATGGGTTAAAAAAAAGATTCGATTTAGTCCGTCAGTCAGATAATAGAAAAATATTGGATACGTATTTTTTTTCGCTTTAATTTAACAACAAATGGCTTAAGAGGTACTATGCGACGACTTCAAATATGCTTTGCAACAATGTTACTTTAATACAGTTTATCGATACGAAATCAAGTGTCAAAATGGAGTCCAGTGGAGAATGCCGATATTGACATTTCGAAATTGCTCATCATTGATAGAGAATACGAAATAGTGATTTTGACACAATCAAAGTGTCTATTTTTTACGGTGATGACGATTCTTGGTTGTCAGTTGAGTTAGTGAATAGGCCTACTGATATGCTGTTAACTGTACAATTAAGAACAGTCACGCTTTAGTCAAATGTTCCAAAACAAATAATTTTAATTGATATCTAAATGTTAAGATTAAATATAATTAATAAAAGTATCAAAATTATTTTGCAGTACTACATTCAGTGTTTACTGCTTAAGAATTTTTGAAATTGCCGCCCTTTTCTTGTGACACGTTTCGCTTGCCAGACTCTAGCTTACAAACTATACACACTACTTACTTTTAAGAGATAATCTAGTTTTCACTTTTAAAGTATTTCCTTCCCTGCGAATGTCATCATTTTCTATAACAAGAACTTGTGTGCGAACATCATCATTATCTTGTTCAAGTGGTTCTTCTTTTTTGAATTCAACATCTTCTAATATACCTTCAGATATTTTTCTATTAACTTCAGGGATTTCAAACTTCTCTTGGTTAAATATAGTTTCATCTGAAATTTTCTCTGTATTTGTTACAATTTTCTGGGTATCTAATCTAAGCACATAAATAAATTACATTGTTTATACAGTCAACAGCACAAAGTTAAACTATAAAAGGTAAAAATTCTCTAGACTATTGCAATATTGATTGCAGGAATTTGACTTTGTAACTTGATATGTGACTTATATTTAATTTGTTTGCCCTTGTGTGCAATCATACGTGGCTGGGTTATTTCTTTGGTCTTCCAGATCTCCTTATACATATTCCCGTCCACACACTCTTTGTTACATAAAAAATCTTCTCTTCTTATCACACGTCCATACCAGTATATTCTATTGCTGTGCAATTTTTCTGTCGCTTGTACTACTTTCAAACTTCTACTAATGTACTCATTCTTTATTTTGTTCCTTCAGTCACTCCACACATCAATCTTAATATACCTGCCCATTTAAGCTACTTGCAATCGACTTTATTCCGCTTTGTATTTCAGCACATCAATCTATAGAACAGGTCTTGTAAATTTTCCCTTTTAATTCAATGTGCAATTCTGGGTCACATATTGTTCCTGTGATCCGCCGAATAGTGAAATCTAGAGTTTCGAATCGAAACTTGAGATCTCCACTCTAGATATCTAGTCACTATTTTGCTGTATTTATAAACCTTGGTACCCAAATTGTAAGTACACTGGTAAAAGCATCCTATTTAATGCAGTGAGAACATATTATCAGTTTTGGTTCTGCTGATTTTTACACTATCATTATGTCATCTGCAAAAAGCATGCTCAAGAAGGCCTCCACTTGTAAATCTGATGTTAATGCATCGATGAAAGCAGTAAGAGTTAGGGGCGTATAGAACCTTGGTGCAAACAAAATAGTCGCCTAGAACTCGCCTGTTATCGCTGCTCACAGTTGACCACACATTTTTATGTGAATTTATTAAACAATTATATATCATACACATAGGTAGGTATATCATGCACCTAAATAACTATCACATTCTGAACTGATGGACTCTTACCATTGCTATTACTTCCTAAAGGTATTTTTTCTATTGGATTCTGATTTAAAACTAATACACCACTTCCATTATTGAAATTGGTTGCTTGTTTATTAGGAATGCCATTATTTTCTAAATTAAGTATGTTGCTTTCTAATAAGGTAGCCCTGAAAGTTCATAAAATTGTGGTTATGAGGGGTTTGTATAAGAAAATAGTTCAGGATATAAAATTAAACAAAAATACCTGCTGTCATCAGTACTTTCAGTAAAACTGTTTTGATTTTCTGTTTTCAATTTGTGTATTAATTCTGTGGATAAGTAAATAAATTTTAATAATATATACTTGCATTGTATTCTTATTTCATAAGAATGAGTATCAATACCAACTATCATTTGTTGTAATGTCATGAAGACCTAGTGTATCGAGTAAATATATTTTGTCATTAGTTTCAAGTAATATCCACCCTTTTTGCTCCAACATTTGATATTGATCGTCACTAAGTGTGATCTGTAAAACATAAGGTAAAGTCCAGTAGATAATTTTATACAAATAGATTAAAAAGGGAATATCACTGATCTGCTTATATGTTACAGTATTTTTTTTATTTACTTAATAAATTACTAGATAAGACAAGAAAAGATACCTCAGTGCAATTATTGGTTTGCTTAACATCCTGTGTTACATCTAAATTCAATATTGGATCTTGTTGCTTATATTGATCAACTGTAATTGTTTCTTCTATCTGTAAATATTGTACTGGTTAATCAAATAATTCTTAGTACCTATCCTATTTATACTTCTATTGAATGATTTTACCTGTTCTGTTGATGTATTTGTTGCAGGCTGTATTAGATAATTGTTTGTGTATGGGTTGTTTCCCCCCTCAGGAAGAACGAATTGATCTATAAAGAAAACATCAATATAGTCTATATAAATAAAACTCAGAATTAATGCTTGGATTTAATGTTCCACAGTGGTTTGATAGTAATAATTTAAAGCTTAATTCGTAATTGAATTTAGTGAGGCATGTTAATACACTTATAACTGTAAATAGTGAAAAAGTTGAGTTGGTGGAATCAACAAAGTTCCTTGGTATTACACTAGATTCCCGACTGCAACGGGGTCCTCATATTGAGAATTTGTCAAGTAGACTGATTTCTGCAGCATTTGCTGTTAAGAAAATTAGACTCTTGACAAATGTTGAAAGGCAAGATTGGTATATTTTAGTTATTTTCATAGTGTAAAGACGTATGGTCTATTGTTGTGGGGTTCTGCGGCTAGCATTCAAGATATTTTTATTCTACAAAAGAGAGCTGTCCGCGCTATATATAATTTACGGTCTAGAGAATCTCTGAGAGAAATATTTAAAGAAATAAATATTTTGACTGAAAATATGATGTACGCAAGAAAACATTATGATTGCTTCATAAAAAAAAGTAGTGTTCATAATGTAAATACAAGAAATAAAAATAAACTTGCCGTTCCAAGCTATAGACTTCAGAAAGGAGAGGATCATTTCTGGGTAAATGCATTGCTATGTTCAATAAAGTTCCAGAAAATGTAGTTGACCTACCTATGAATAAATTTAAAATTCATGTAAAGAACATACTTATGAGTAAAGGCTATTATAAAGTTGATGATTATTTTAAGGATCGCAATGCATGGAATTAATAGCCTTAGCTTGGTTCTATAAAGACTAATTATATGTTCAATCTATGTCCTACAGACTTTGAAAATTGTATTTATTATTGTGATAATGCATATTATTTTGGTAATGACATGATTTATGTAAATGTCATTACTTATGATAAAAAGCTGGTAAGTTTCTTTTGTTTGTTCTTCTTGTCAGTTAAAAGACGTCCTGAACAAGTGGTAGGGGAAAATAATTTTTTTTTGACGTTTTCTAAGTGCTTGTAATAGCCTACTTGAATAAAGATATTTTCATTTAATTTTTCATTTCAATGAAGCAAAAGTAAGAAATTTTTAGAAAAAGTTTAAGATTTGGGTTGAATAACAACTTTTTCTGTAATCTATGGAGGTTAAAACTAGTGTATTTTTTTTAACTTAAAAAAAAATTGAATACTTAAGAATGGTTGTAAAATGACTACCTAATTATACAACTGCATTCTACATAAGCATTCAGACAGATTAAATTTACTCACCAGATACAGATATCAACTCAGCTGAATTATCAACAAATAGTTGTTGTGGAGTGACACCATATACTGTACAGGAATGCACACCATCCAGGACTTCTTTAATATTTTGAACTTGTGTAACATACTGTACTTGTCTGTTTACTACCCAAAGAACAAAAAACTATTGTTATACTTAAAGAATTTAGTTATAGATTGTTAATCTGTAAAATGAGATAAAAAAACTATTTCAATAGTACAACTATTATATAGGAATAATGTTAGACTCACTAAGAAATGTTCCATCATCTTGAACAACAAAAAACTGATCTGTATCATTTGTATTAGTTTGCAAGTATTCATATGTTTCATATGTGTTCTTTTCCATTTCAGCTAATAGTGACTACCTATAAGAAATATTAAACATAAAACCATGAAAAGAAATTGTATGTTTAATAAATATAACATTTTACAACTTGTGCTGCTACTATATGTCCTCACAGCAGCAAATCAGGTTGCTATAAAGCTACAATCAATTTTGAACTTAATAATTAAAATCAATAGAAGTAATTTAGCCTTTTGTGCTATTCAACATGCTGTTAACTTTACATTCAATAAATAAATGTTATGAAGATTCATATTCACGATTCTATATATATCTGTTTTAGAACAATTAATTTTGAAGATAATATGTCATAAACATGCTGCATTTTTAACTACTGCAGATGATAGTCAATGAGTGTTTTTGAAAATATAGGAATAGTTCATTTTAATAAAATATAAATGGTATAATTCTAAACTTAAAAATGAAATTTAAAAAAAACTTGATAAATGTTCTTTTAACAATACTAAACTATTCACAAAAAAATCCTTTATAAAAGCATCGAAAAGGTTAAGTCTTTCTTTAATATTGCACTTAACTATTAATAACAAGCTGTTGTCTTATGACTTCAGCCATGTAAATTGTGCCTATGTCATCATATGAAAGAAAATTCATTATTGGATTAGCATTTCAATTTATATAGTAGGCTGTGGTATTACAAAGAAGTTCTAATTTTTTTTGTGTATTTTTTTATAAAACAATGTTAAAGTGAAAGATGTTGCTGCTTTTTTTTGCAACAAAAATAATAATGAATATATAAGTAGACGATATAAAAATATATTTATATTCTTTTGCCTATTCAATTTTATCCAAAGATAAAATTTTATAAACACAATATTCTACTTTCGTTTGTATAGCAGACTTAAATGAATAAAATTACTCAATAAATTGGACTCAGTGAATAAAATACGATTTAACTTACTTTTGTAAGCCAATATTGATTAGGTGTGTGAAAACAAAATAACAACTTGGGTTAGATTTTTCTTCTTTTTTACACAAGTAGTAGTAATTTGTTTCGTCTATTGGGACGGGCCTTTTTACATAAAATCAACCATTTTACGGTTATTTAAATAACAGAAAATTCCTCAGGCGAAACGAAAAGGAAAAAACAGAAAGGCCCAAAAAGCCTTTGCAAGAAGCTGCTATAGACCTCTAAAATTCACTTATCAAAGCTATAGGATATTACATTACTCTTTGGCTATAGGCACATAGTTGTGGCACATAGATTTAGTTGTATGCACAGACTGGTTGCATGTATGACATAGATTTAGTTGTCAGATGTCCAGAGCACAGACTTTTTTTTTGTTCATTTTTCCCATTCCTACAGGGGAGGGGAAGGCAAAGGGTGCTTAGCCCATACAGCCTTGCAGAGCACTGATTACATATACTATATGCTGATTACCAGTATCATGTGTGTTTTTTTTATTTCAATCAATGACCTTTTTTTTGGTAGATAGGCGAAAAGAGCTTAGCCCATACAGCCGTTGTCTGTTGTTCAAAATTTTTCTTCGATATCATAGGAAAAATAGGCCCTAGTCATATCTTTAATTATAAACAACAATATGAAAAATAAAAGCCATGAAGGCCTTGTTTGTACTGTAAAAGTCAAAATCAAAGTATAATGTCACAAAATGAACATTATATCAAAGACCACAAATGAGGAAGTATTTAAAATATAAAAATTAGTTCTTAAAATCTTCGTAGATGTCACTAGCAATATTTGGATATTGTCTATGATATTAATTCAAATTTTGTTTTTGATGTAATAAAAGTGAAGTAAGTATCGATTATCAATAAATATGACATCGTTTCGTATTTCTTATAATATATAAGTTTCAAATTAATTTAAATTTATTTATATGTCGATATTAGTATTCATCCGAACTCAGGTTTGAGATCAAGAAGAAGAAATACGTATTGATATTGTGCCCTCGCGAGTGTTAGTTGTTACACGTGCTCAAGGGATTTCTTTATTTATTAGTGATTTATAGACTTTCTACGTGGTAGTACGGAATTAAGTGTTTGTCTTTTCTGTGTTCTGTTCTGTGTACTAACAACAGGTATAGGTAAGTACCTATTTATGTTCTCCTGTCCTTTCCACTGATTACAAAGTAATCAATGGAAAGGACTCCTCCCGATCCTCCGGATCCTCCGGACCGGCCCAACACACCTCTTTCAAACATGGAGTTTTCACCCCCATTATTCTCACAAACAGGAGTTAAGCGACGTAATGAGACTGAACCTGAGGTGATCAACTCACCTACTAAAAGAATAAGCACCGAAATTAATCAATCTGACACGTCGATTACCTCTCCCGGACTATATATTCATCCATCAGTAAGTCAAGGCTGCAAACGATACATAGATAGCGATAAAGGACCATTCATAGTTCATGTTTCAAAAATCGAGAATGATCCTTCATCAGGTATATCAATACATCCTATTAAATTTGGCCAATTTCTTGTTAAAAATAAGATTAAAAATATAGTCTGTGATGGTATTAAGAAAGTTGGACGTAATAGAATTGCAGTTGAATTTAAGACAAATATAGATGCAAATAATTTTTTAAATAACCCTTTCTTAACACTCCATAAATATACTGCACAGATCCCTAACTACAATATTACCCGTATGGGTATTGTCAAAGGTGTTCCTTCTGACCTCACAATGGAAGAGCTGGTAGATTCCCTAGTAATCCCTGTTAGTTGTGGTATAATTTTGAAGGCAAGACGGCTTAACAGAAAGACCATATTAGAAGGCAAAGTTACCTGGCTCCCAACTCAGACAGTAGTCCTTACGTTCCAAGGACAGGTCTTACCTAACAGAGTTTTTGTTTATCATACATCCTTGCCTGTTGAAACATACCAGCTCCCTACTATACAGTGTCTTAATTGCTGTAGATTTGGTCACATTAAAACACAATGCCGCTCAAAACCGCGCTGCTTCCGCTGTGCGCAACCACATACTGGTGCGTCCTGTGTTGTTGAGGAATCTAAAGCTACCTGCCTTTTTTGTTCGGGTTATCATTTTGCTACAAATAGGAGTTGCCTGGAACATTCTCGACAACAATCAATTAAAAAGCTTATGTCTCAGGATAACATATCATATCAGGAAGCCTCCCAAAGATTTCCTGCAGTTAAGAGGTCTTATGCTGAAATTGCTCAATCTTCACCGTCTACTCAGCACACATATGCTCCACAATCTCCGATATCTTCACCCAAGACCCCAGCAGGTATAATATCGTATAAAAAAACTGTAGTGCAACCTCATAAACCTAGGACTATATTGAACCCTGGGTATGATAGTCTGGCTCATCAGGCCATCATTCAAAACTCCCCCTCTTCCCTTCCAAATGGATGTGCTCTCAGCAATGAATGCCTACCAGAGTCTACAGATACTACTCCTAATGACAACTTATTAGAAACCCTTCTGACCTTCGTTTTTAGTCTTCTTAATAGATTTGATGACATCCCTGTACCGTCCAACGTTGCTAAAAAAATAAACCAACTTAATAAATTTATTTGTATCAATAAAAATGGCGAAGATAATACAATGGAACTGTAGTAGCATTTCTAGTAAAACTGCTGAATTACAATACTTAATAAACAAATTTTCTCCTTCTATCCTTGCTATGTCGGAGACATGGTTGGTGCCGGGTACAGTCTATGGCTTACCTGGGTACTCCTGTCTCCGGGATGACAGGGGAGATGGCTATGGAGGGAGTGCACTGTTTATCAGTTACTCCCTTCTCTTCAATAAAATTGACCTCCCACCCCTCAGTGACTGCATTAATGCAGTAGCTGTGAAAGTTGTAAATACCACCTATCTTTCTGTGTATATACGTCCCAAATCGCCACCTAATATTGTTATAGAAGAACTGAAATCTATTATCATGTCTCTCTCGCCTCCTCTAATATTAATGGGCGATTTTAATGCACATCATGTGGTATGGGGTTCTGCTACAAATGACTCACTTGGTGTCCAAATAATTAACCTATTAGATGAGAGAGACCTTTGTTTAATGAACGACGGTAGTCCCACCAGAAGAACCCGTCCTGATCAAAATCCATCGGCAGTAGACATCACAATATGCACTCCCACACTGGCATCAAATATTTCTTGGAATATACTCCAAAGTACACATGGCAGTGACCACTTCCCTATTTTAATTTCAACCTTAGATAGTCCGCCTTCCATCAACCGTCCCCCTCCTTTACTTCAATTCCGACTGCAAAAAGCAAACTGGGCAGCCTATTTTAGGACACTGGAAGGTAATGCTGACACTCTCCCTGTGGTTACAATAGATAATGCTGACATGGCTTACGAAGCATTGGTCGAGTCTTTAATGGAAGCAGCAAATGTGAATTTTCCAAAAAAAAACTGTACACGGAAAAAATTATCACCCCCCTGGTGGGATTCGGAATGTACAGAAGCAATAAAAATGAGGAAAAATGCTGAAAAAAATTATAGAAATTCCATGACCATGGATAACTTTGTATCCTATCAAAGAATAGCTGCTCAAACTAAAAAGCTTCTAAAGATAAAGAAAAGGACGGGTTGGAATAGGTTCTGTGAAACATTGGCCCCGGGTACCCCCTCAACCATTGTGTGGAAACAGCTGCAAAAGTTTCGCAGATCACGTAATCGCTCCAATTTAACACATAATGATTCTTCAACTTGGATAGAAGCATTTGCTGACAAACTGGCTCCCCCATCAGCCCCAAATATTGATTGCCTACATATCAACACCAGTGTGATACTACCTTCCACAGGAATGCTAGATGGATTATTCTCGATTGAAGAGCTCCAAAAAGCACTTTCTGGCTTAAAGGACAGTTCTCCGGGCTTAGACGGGATTCCATATTCCTTTTTAGTTAGAGCTCCAGATAACATAAAATTATACTACCTAAAGTTAATTAACACCTTTTACGATAATGGTATCATCCCCGATCATTGGACTAAGCAAATAGTTATACCTATTTTAAAACCAGGCAAAAATCCATCTGAACACTCCTCTTATCGGCCTATAGCTCTCTCGTCTGTCCTACTAAAAATCGTCGAACATATGATGAAAAACCGTCTCGAATGGATTGTAGAAAGTCGCGACATGCTTGCCAAATCTCAATTCGGATTTAGAAAAGGTTTCAGTACAATAGATAATCTCAGCATCCTTACGACAGATATCCGCCTTTCGTTTGAGAAAAAAGAACAATTGGTAGGGGTATTTCTGGACATATCGTCCGCATATGATAATGTTCTTATTCCGGTGCTCAGGCAGAAAATGCAACAGCTGAACATTCCAGGGAAATTGGTCCATTTCATATGCAATTTGATATCATCCAGATCCATCTTAATAAGGTCCCAAGGTTACTCTCTAGCTAGGGTGGTGTGGAAAGGCCTACCACAAGGATCAGTTCTTAGCCCAATGCTTTATAACATATATACTTATGATATGGAACTCTCAGTGAACTCCTTCTGTCAGATTCTACAATACGCAGATGATGTAGCCCTTTATGTCCGAACGAAATCCATATCGGAAGCTTCATCACGACTAAACTCCGCTTTGTCCTATCTTGGCGACTGGTTGACGGACCATGGACTATCGATTTCCACATCAAAATCTAGTGCGGTAATCTTTACCAAAAAGCGAAACGTCCCTGTCCCGAACATTAAACTTCAGGATGTTCCCATTGTGATCAAACCCTCAGTTAAATTCCTAGGAATGATTCTGGACTCCAAATTAACGGGTACTGACCATTTTAATAATGTAGCAAACAAAACAGAAAAGAGCGTAAACATTTTGCGAGCGCTGTCTGGTGTTTGGTGGGGCGCTCATCCGGAAACTCAAAAAATATTGTATAACGCTATTGTGCGTAGCCATTTCGATTATGGTTCATTCCTCCTCGACCCCTGTAATAAAACAGCATTGGATAAAATAAATAAAATACAATCAAAGTGCCTTAGAATCATACTAGGAGCAATGAAATCCTCACCCATCAATGCCTTACAAATTGAAGGTGCTGACCCCCCTCTTTTCCTCCGTAGACAATTTCTCAGCGACAGATTTTTCTTGAAGGTTCTACAAAATAAAAACCACCCGTTGTTACATATACTATACAAAACAAATCATGTATCCAACACTAATATTAACGTTAATCGTCGCCAAAATGTCCCATGTATAATTACTAGTTATTTAAAATTTAGCCGTCCTTCAATAACCATCGAGAAATTTCCGTTTAATCCCTTATATTTAA